TTCACCCACAACTGTGTGTAAAAATACAAGTTACATCACAAATTAGCTTGAGTGCTCAAGATCAAAAGCAAAGAAAAAGTTAAAGCTAAATATAAATGATGGTGAACTAAAAATGTGATACTATTACTTCAGGTCAAAGAGATCTAACTGCATCAGCATGTATGAATCCTTCAGAAATATCTTCTTTGAACATGAAGATGAACTATGGTAAAAACATAAAAGTATATAGATCAAAATTGTGCTTAAGTGATAAAGTTTAAGGGTTAAAAACAGGGTAATTCCCCAGGGCACATGATTAATGGCAGTCATGTAGCAATAGTGCACCCTTTCACATAGATTTTTGGAACTCATTTTTATTCCAAAGGCCTAGACATTGCAATATGTTTCAAAACCAATCCAAGATGGTAACTCAATCCAAGTGACGATGATTTCAGACTGTTCAGAGCAGGGCTGAGGCAAAGCATGACACTTTACAGTTCTAAACACAACTGTCACCTGCCTGCCAGCAGACTGTGCACTAGACCCTACCATGAGACCTCCTCAGAAGCTCTGCCTTGTGATGAATTCAGACAGAGCATTCTTGGGTGGGGTCCAAGAACTGCCTTTCACATTCACTGGTGCTCTGTTGCAGAAATAAGAACGAAATTCCACTGAATACGATAAAGGCAATTTTTCTAAGGCAGATAAAATAATTTGCCATTAACATTTCTCGTCTACAAGGATTCAATTTGAGGCAAAGCCACGTTGACAGGAAATGAATCTGGTTGATCTGATATACAACGTACCCTCCTAGCACTACCCAATAGCACCTTTGACTCATTCTGTGTTTGGCTCTGAGTCTTCCCAGAAAACTGCTCCATGTTGTCTTTCACCCTGCTGCCCAGTTCCAAACTGCTCTGCCAAGCTTTCGGGAACCATAATCACTTGACCCCACCTACCTCCCTGGGCTCAGTTCCTCAGCCTCAGGGCCCAGAGACTCTCCACTCTCCCAGGTCCTACTTCCTACCTGAAGCCTCTTTCTACCAATTCTACTGAGAGTGATAGCTCTCTTTCTCTGCACTCCTATTTCTACCATAAAGTCAGTCTACAGTACATTGCAAAATTCTTAAAATATTTCCTTTTAAAAATTTTTTCTCAAGCCAAGCATGGTGGCACATGCCTGAGGCTGAGGCACAGGATCAGGATCATTGTGAGATCAAGCCCAGCCTAAACTAGCAAGATCATGTCTCAAAAAAATTAGCATTTCTCTGTAGCATTAATTTGCACTCTTGTTTCTTCATGATACACAGAAAAATAAAATATACACATAACATGCCCCGGCATACCACTGTGTGTACCTGGAATTATACACATTCCCAGCCATAAGAGCTATAAATCCACTTATTTCTCTTCACTAAGGAAAGCATAATTAATGCAGGAGAATATATTATATTTCAATGAAAGATTTTAAAACACAGGAATAAGTATTACTATTATATATGTGACTTTTTGTATGCTTGAGCTAGTTTTTAAAGTAAAGTATTAGTAAACTTAGGCATTTTATTACTATTAATAAATCACTTGTAATACATCTCACAAATTATATACTGATAAAAAATGCTGTTCTATATAGCATTCAGCATGCTAGGCAAATGAGTGTGTCTATACCATTAATCAATTACACATAATTATCAGTTACTGCTGCAGCTGGATGATGACTATGATAATGACAAAGATGATACAAAATAAAGAGAGTGCAACAAGTGACTCTCCTGAAAAACTCTTAAGGCACAAATGACTTCGTATGGGATGAGACTAATACTTTAACAGGCCAACATGGCAGTTGCACTCCTGCCTGAACTTCAGGATCAGGGTAATTTCCATGGCAACCATCTTGCAAATGTATACCTCTTGTGCAACAGTGTAGTTACTATCGTAATCTTGGGTAAATTTAGTAAACTGTTAACTTTATCTACCAATGCAGTCAAAGAGCTTTATTTTATTTATTTTTTTTTTTTGCTCTACCCAGGAGAAAGTCTTCTGGTGACAATGAAAATCTGTTCTATTTTCAAGCACTTCTTTTATAATAAAGAATATTCTGAGCACTGGAAGTCCTTCAACTGAGTGTTCAAATATAGGTTAAATGTCCCTTATCCAAAATGGTTTGAATCAGAAAGGTTTTAGATTTTGAAGTTTTTCAGGTTTTGCAGTTTGGATTTTGCTTTGTTTTGTTTGTGATTTTGGAATTTCAAGTTAGGGATGTTCAACCTGTGTGTCATTTTTAACTGGTATGGAATCCATTTTCAACACGCCTTAACTGCCAATTACAGTCTATTATTTGATTTAACTGTATTTAAAATTCTAAAAATGTCATATTCTTCCCTTTAAAATAAAAAAACCTTTAAATATATGTCAGATGGCTTAGGTATAAATCAATCTACAGGCCAAGAATCTTCTACATCCTCCAGCCCCACTATCTAAGCATTCTTGAAGAGTGATCTAACAATACATTTTTAAAATTTATTTTCTTCACTAGCGCTGCCTAAGCAGTCACTATTTAGAAATCCTTGTAAAAGCAGACTACAGAGGCGTATAGGTTAGTCATGCCCTGGAAACTTCTAAACATCAAACAAACAGCCCAGAAGAATGTCCTGCTCAAAAGTTCCAAGGATGTCATTAATGGCTTCCATCTGTTTCTCCCCACCACCCTCCAAAAAGGCATCTGCTGTTTTCTGCTTCATTTGAATTCTAAAGTAAAGCAAGAAAAACATAGAAAACCATGTTTTAAATTGTACAATATTTATTTGAACCCAAATTTGCTTGACAGCCATACTGCTGCATATACACTGGGCTATTTTCAAGTTACATTTCAGAGGGCAGCATATTAAGTATATGTATATGAGTATGTATGTATAAATATGTATATGTATACTGAGGGGCAGTACTGGGGATTGAGCCCAGGGACTTCATACTGACCTGTACCTCAGCAGCACCCCTTTACTGAAACAGGGTGTTGCTTAGTCACTAAATTGGCCAGGCTGTGCTTCAACTTAGTATCTTCTTGCCTCAGCTTCCTAGAATGCTGGGATTACCAGCATGTGCCACCACACTTAGATTAAATTATATATACTTTGAGTAAACTGCTTAGCAAATTTTTCACCTGGTCATAACACACTGTTTTCCTCTGATTCCCCATGAAGACCAAGGTTTTTGTGCTATGGTGCAATAATCCTTAAAACTTCTGAATGGTTTCTTCTGTTGATTATCCTTACCTAAACCAACTATTGCATTAAACAACAACAAAAACACAAATCACCAATTACAGAATAAGGAGTTGGCACCCTAGTTACTACCAGGAATGATCAATGAAGCTTTGCTTTAAAGTTTTTATCACAACTAGGGTTTACGCCTCTTCAATTTTTTCTAAACCCCAAGGAAATCTATGAGACTGTATAGCATATTTCAAGGGTCTGTCTCTGGGAATGAGCAGAAATGAGTTTCCTGACAAAATCCATTTACCAATAAAATAATATTCATAGACTAGAATGTCAGAGTTGTAAGGTTATCTGGTCTACCTGAGATTACAGTCTTGTTCACTGCCTCATCAAATTCTGTACTTTCCAGGAGGTCAAGGACAACCTGGTACACACTAGAACTATGTTTTTAATGTAAGATGTTATGGTTTGGATCCAAAATGGCCACCAAAGGCCATGTACTTGGCAACTGATGGTGTTTGGAAGGTGATCAGATCGTGAGGGCTCTAGCTTTATTTTAAACTGTGACATATACATAGAGAAAAATTACATAAAACAATATATAGTAGGGCTGGGGATTTAGCTCAGTGGTGCCACTGCTGGCCTCACAAATGCAAGGTCACGAGTTTGATCCCCGGTACCAAAACAAATAAATGAAACAACCACCCATGTAACTTATCACTTGAGTCAAGAAACAGAACATTATTACCATTTTAAAACCCTAGAGTGATTCTCCCTGAGTATAAACTACTTTGGTGACCATTATTTCCTTAATAATTTTTATCTTTTTATCATATAAATAGGCATCCCCTAAACAACACAAATATATTTTTGTTTGATGTTATTTTTCTGTTTTTTTGAGACAGGGTGGCACTATGTAGTTCAGGCCTATGTAGTTAGAACTCACAGCAATCTCCTGCCTCAGCCTCCCAAGTGCTGGGATTACAGCTGTGCACCACCACACCTGGCCTGCCTTAATTATTTTCTTTTTTTTTTCTTTTTTCGTATCGGGGATTGAACTCAGATCCTTTCATTTGCAAGGCAGGTGGCAACACCAATGAGCTAAATCCCCAGCCCCGCCTTAATTATTTTTGAGATTCCTACATTCCTTTTCTTTTAACTGAAGCAAAACTCATATAACATAGAATTAATCATTTTAAAGTGAAAATTTCTCATTCCTTTTTGTTGTTGTTGTTTTTTGAGACAGGGTTTTGCTACGCAGTTCAAGCTGGACTCCAACTCATGGGATTGTCCCAAGTACTGGGATTACAGGTATATGCCACCATACCCAGCCTCATTCCTATTTATTACTTACTAAAATTCCTATTTATGGCTACCTTATAATTATTTTAATCCATTCTACTATAGATAGGCCAGTGGGGTCACCGTGAACAACAATGAAATAAACATTTTTGTATTTGGATTCCAGTATATATGTGCATGTGTAACTCTAAAAAACATATATAGGAGTGAAACTGTTTATCTTGTTTTACTAAAGGCACAATGTTTCCCAAACTGTCCGTACCAATTTAAATCCCCAATAGTGACACATGAGGGCTCCGGGTGCTTGTCCCATACCCTCATCGAAAACTGTGATTAGATGTCTTCATTTAGGGGTTTATAACAATTTGCACAAATAAGTAATGAAACACAAAAACTTGTCACTTCAATTGTAAACATAAATTTTCTGTTAAAAAAAACTGCTCCTGGAATCAGTTTTTTCAACGAGAGGATTCTGTTTAGCAACAGGATATTTCAGTTACTCACTTAATGAATGCTGGTGGCATATCTCTCTTCAAAATCTGATCTTCAGTGGTTTGAACAGTCTCTTTTCCAACCTACGGGGGAAGAGGATTCATAACTGAAATATAAGTTCTCAGACAACTATTCAGGGTACTTCCACAATATATGCGGGTAACAATGTGGGGTACGTGTGCATAATGTTGTTGGGAGACTCATTTGAAGGCATCCTTGAGGATGAAGGGAAAAGAGAAATTCATCAAGAATATAGATTTACAGATTATAGATTTACACAAGGAATACACATTTAACTGACAAAACCTACACTATCTCTACAAGGTTACATAAAGTGCATAAATTAAAATTAGTCTAAAATATCTATGCAAAAAAAAGTTATTTGAAACTGGGAAAAATATTCAAAGCAATAATAACTATGATACTAGAAACCAAATATGCAACTTCACCAGGTAATATAAAAGTGAAATTTTAAAAAATGTTTTCCCCTAATCATAGAGCAACTTAAAAGGAAATAACACCTAATGCTGAATTCAACAATAGAGTAGTTTTACACCCTGTGGGTGCCAATATAAACTGTGGGAAATCATTTGCTAGCGTGTTTTAGAAAATATAAAACATGTACCTGGGGTCCAGGGATTCAGCTCAGTGGCACTGTGCCTGCCTTGCAAGCGCAAGGTCCTGAGTTCAAACCCCAGTACCAAAAAAAAAGTAACAACAACGAAAAAACCATGTACGTAGGAATTCTACTTCTCTATACCCAACATACAACAATACCAAATGTGGTAATAACAATATTGATTAAAATATTCACCATTTTGTTAGTTATAACAACTATAAGTAATTACAATAGCTAAGTCAACAGAGGGAACAGTTAAGTAAATGAAGATACATCTTTAGATTGAGTACTAGAGGAGCCATTAAAATGGGTTATAAAGTGTCAGCACTATTATAAAGTCCTTCACACTATATCTCATTTAAAAGAAAGAATATAAAGAAAAACTACACTATTATAACAAACAAAATTCCAAGGCCAGGGATTTGGCTCAGTGGTTCCACCACCTGCCTTACAAGCGGAAGGGCCGGAGTTCGATCCCCAGTACCAAAAAAAGAAACAAAATTCCTAGGGGCCAGGGATTAGCTCAGTGGTGCTGCTGCCTGCCCCATAAGCACAACCTGAGTTCAAGTCCCAGTACCATAAATGAACAAACAAACAAACAAATACAAAGTCCCTATGTAGATAGCAAAAATAATGAAAGAATAAAAACAAATATGAAGTGGTTGCATTAATGCTTATGAAATGTTGAGTGAATGTAGATCCGCACTACCTATTTCCTTTCTGAAATATGAAACCATAATTTTTGTAATTTAAAAAATAAGATTAGGGCCAGGGATTTAGCTCAGTGGTTAGGTGGCCTGCCTTGCAAGCGCAAAGACCCAAGTTCAATCCCTGGTACCAAAACAAAACAATAAATAAATAAATAAGATTAAAAGGTAACTAAATTATTTAGGTATAATTATTCCTACTTAAATTTTTAGTATTATCATTTTATATAAATGTTCAAAATACTAATGGTCAAAAAAAATTTTAATTATCACTCCCAGAACTACAAAAATATTTTTAAGCACCAGAATATTCACCCTAACTAGATTACATTATACGCATGTGTATTACGCCACAAATTATACATATCCTTACAGTCTTCAAAATTATTTCTATGCAGGTCTTGGAGGTCAATTTCCCTTTCTTATTTAAAGTTTTATTTATTAGTACTTTCTTTCGGTATGTAATGATTACATTCCTCATGGGGAGGCGGTACATGGCCATGACATATTTGTTTTTTATCCCCTTCCTCTCCCCCTCCCTACTCCTTCCATCTCTTGGGCCCTTTCTATTTTTAATTTCTCTTTCATGATACTATGATTATAAAGTATTCCATTACAAGTAAACATTAATATAGTGAGTGATGAAATTCATTCACTGTATCAATATGAAGTTACCTAGGAATGCTAAATTGTAAATTTAAACCACATTGTAATGCATAAACCTGTAAAATATTTTAAACCCAGAGTGGGAAGTATCTCAATCCTATCTGGCCATTTGGATTTTGAGTCTAAAAGAGAAAAAAAACTGAGTAAGAAAAACTCTGAAATGAACAGTAAATCAGCTGAATAAAAGAACACAATAAACTATTCTTAGGGAATACAAGTGAAGCATAAATTAGTGAATACAAGTTTTTTTCTCTCAAGTTAATAGCTCAGAAAAAGCAACACCCATACTACAGTGTAACAGCCACTGCTTCTGTGCACAATAGTCTGTCTGTATCGTAACAAAAGCCTTTCAAATCAGCAGCTGGTTCTCTACAGTTGCTCAGATCAAACATGACAGAATATTTCCAGATGTATTGTTCACTATATTTTCCAGCTGAAACTAACCATTCAAAAAGCCGTGGGCATGATTTCACCAAGTAGAAGATGCAGTTCAGCCACAAAGTCACTGGTTCATACTAAGTATAAAGGGCACTGAAGGATTTTCACATTTAAGCTACATGGAGTCTTTTCTGTATACTGGGGATCAGTGAGAAGACAGACCAAGGAGGGAGGAAGAGGGGCAAGTTCTCAGATCTTTCATAGAAAGTAGGTATTCAGTTATGAAACATTCGTTGAACCCAACTACATGTGCCAGGCACTGTTATAGTCCTGCCTTCCTGAAACTTGTATTTTAGAGTATATAGTCAAATAGAGTGGTGCTATAGAGTATGGGGTGGAAAGCCTATTTTAGAGAGTGGAAAAAGCAGTCTTTCCTAAAGAAATAACCTCAGACCTGAGGCTTTGATGCTGAAGAGAAATCACTGACATGAGAACTGGGAAAGAACAACTCAGAAAGCTGGGTGTGGTGGTGCCTACTCATAATCCCAGCACTGGGGAGGCTGAGGCAGGAGGATTACAAGTTCAAGGCCAGCCTGGACTACTTAGATCTTGTTTCAAAAACAAAATAAAACAAAACAAATTCTAATAAAGTAGCAAGAAAAAGTCCCTAAAAAGCCAGGGATTTAGCTCAGTGGTTCTGCCACTTGTCTTCCAAACACAAGGTTCTGAGTTCGATCCCTGGTACAAAAAAAGAGTCCCTAAGGCAGAAAAGATAAGATGTGCCTAAGGAACCTAAAGGAGCCAGAGTGGCTAAAGTGCAGGGAGAGAAGCACAGGTGGTGACAAGGTCAGGTAAGAAGGCAAGGTTGCAGTGTTTGAAATACATTCTAGACAAAGAGAAAACAGGAGTCCTAAACAAGAGATCTGTATGATATGATAGTTTTTGGGGTACCAAAGATGGAACTCAGGACCTTGTGCTTGTAAGATAAGTGGCGGAATCACTGAGCTAAATCCCTGACTTCTTGGGGACTTTTTCTTGATACTTTGTCAGAATTTGTTTTATTTTGGGACCTTGCGCTTGCAAAGCAGGCAGTGGAACCACTGAGCTAAATCCACGGCCCAATATGATGTCTTTTTTTAGAAGATCATTTTGCCTATTTTGTGGAGAAATTATCTTAGAGGAGAGGGGGAACCATGACCAGCTAGAGATATTGCAGTCGTCCAGTGGAGAGACAAGTGACTGTGAATGTGGAAGTGAAGAAAACAGCACAACTGTGTTATCTTCTGGGGTAGGACTATTATTATGACTTGCTCTTGGATTGAGTAGAGTGGGGGGTAAGGAGGAGGCTGTGGTAAAGAGAACTTAAAGATGACTTCTGGTCAGTTCAATGAAATGTCTTCAAGGGCCAATGGTGGAAGGCTGATACACTGTATGGCAAAGATTTCTGGTCCAAAGATAAGACAGTCGTGACCATGCCAGGCAAAACAATTATAATCTGTGCAAATAGGGAATATTCCAACCCCAGTAGAGGTTAGGCCTTTTTTTTTTCATGAATTATATTTAATTATTTTGTGCCTCTTTTGCAAGGAGAGGGTGGGGAAAGAGAAATGGATAATGAAAGTACATTCAAGAGCTAGTTATTTAGAAGCTCTTTTTAAGTATTTAAGTGATGGACACTAAATTTGATTTGGTTACTCTAAGCTATATTAATACTTACAGTGATAGTGTCCACAATTACTCTGATTCACAGCACTAAGCCTAGAATTAGCTGACGTACAATGAATGGCCCAGTTCTTAAAGTGTAACTCATAAAACACGACTAGGCAGAAGAATGCTATTTTTTACTTAGGGAACCGATTTTGGGCAGTGCTGTCCATTAGAACTTTCTGTTATGGCAGAAATATTCTAATTAATCAGTGGCTACTGAGCACTGAAATGTGACTAGTGCAAATGATGAACCAAATTTTAATTTTACTTAGCACGTGTGGCTATCATATTAGACATCTCGGACCATGGGACCATCCTTGTCTAGAACTGATCTTCTTGTCTCCAGACTCTCCTTTCTCCTAATTCATTCCTCATAAGTACTATCATCAATCTTCTTTTATGCCTTTGCTATATGGTCTTTTCACAAAAGAAAGGAGCTAAGCCTGGAATGACAACAGCTGCCAGGTGGAGAAAGGGATCGGGCAGTTTGACTATGAAGAAGAGCAGAGCAAGCACTCAGTCAGATGTGTTTGAGCACATGGGTCACTAGACAAGAAAGACAGGCTGGGATGGCTTCAGCCAAGGTAAGGAGGCCAGAAAGGTGAGCTAGTGTACCTGGGAAGTGTTCTTTGTATGCTAAGCAAGGGCACAGAGGGTTATGTTACCTTGCCCTGCCCACTTACCAAAGGGTCTGTAGCCTCTGCTCTAGATCTTGCCAATTCAATCTCCTGCCACTCAAGGATTAAGTCAAGAACTTCCAACAAAGCCAGTTTCTAAAGATACACCGCCCAGAATGGCATCATCTAACTTGTGAACAACTGGCAAACCCTGTCTAGGAAAACAAACGTAAGCTTCTGATTTTGAAGCCATTAACCAGGAGATGCCTAAGGAGGCACACTTTCCTCCTATCTCTCCACACCATCGGAAGAGAAAGTTTCTACAGCCCGCACATTTTCAAATTAAAACGGTACGACAAACAATAAATAATGGTATTAGGAGCACAAAA